GTGGATCAATTATTTTGTACTATTTTAATTACTCATTTTTTGATTAGTTGCCTATACTTTTGGATATTGACATCAACTATTTGAGTAGGCTAATGATGTTCTTAATTCGTTTCAAAATTAACTCTACATTTCGACATTTGTATTAGCTTTATTTATTGAAATTATGGAAGAAGTGATTATACATGTGTTGATATTCAGAATTAAGTTCCTTAATTATTATAGGTTTAATGGTTATAGTATAATAAATATTAAAAAAATGAACTTTTATGGCGTAAAAAAGTAAATAAATTTCACCATTTTACGGCATGCCAATGTACACCATAAAAAATTGAGACGAATATTAATGGCATGCAAAAAAGTTTGCCTTAAAAAAATTATCCTTTTACAACATGCAGACACATGCCGTAAAAAGGTTTAGCATTTACGGCATGCTTTATGCTTTTTACGGCATGCATAGAATGCCATAAAAAGATATAAGTATTTACGACATGACTTTATATGACATGCGCCTGTATGCCGTAAACAATGTTTTACGGCATGCAATGCATGCTGTAAAAAGCAAATTCTGTTGTAGTGAAAGGCGCATTCCCATTGGACTTGTCGTCCAATTCTGACCAAGATCAACTTAGAGGGGGCATTATGTGATAGAATGCACAATAAAAATTCTTTTTGTTAAGGAAGATAATGAGCAGAGATCGACGAAAGAGGCGCGACATTAGTATATTCAGTTTGCAGAATTGTTGACATTTTTTCGTGTTAGGATGCATTGACAAATCTTCTTATCACACCTACTTAATTTGCACAAAGGAATATATAGTTCTGCTGTCAAAATCATTGGGCACCTCCCAACTTTCTAAACAAGATAATAAAATAGAAGTTAATACTATTAACTATGACATACGAAAATCATTGGGCACTTCCTTATTTCCTGTAACATAAAGTAATATATAATCAAACATTGTAACTGTGAACTCCCAGACTCTATAGTCAAATTTTATATTGTTGCTTGCATTGTTAATATTGGTCTTCATTAGTTTTACTTTTCTCAGATTTTATCAATTAGTTTGACTGTGTAATTAAATATTTTTTTTTACAGTTATTTGTAATCACAAATTTGATTTTTTCTTGTTGACTATAAAAGCAAAACCATGGTGTTATTAATAGATATATTGCCATTTTCTTGTCAAATGTATGTTGTCTATACATTTGACATGAAAGGTAAGGCATCAAGATCTCCGTATCAACCAAAGAGATAATCGAGTGTTGATAATCGAACAACCAAGTAAACTAACAGAATTATACATGAACATGAGTCTGAGGGATACAAATTAAAAGAGATTTTGCTAATTTAAATAATGTACCTTAACCGTATGTGTGCATGGATATTTATAGATGAGTTTCATTGTTGAATTAAATTAAGGTTTTGCAACCTTAATTCACATTCATCAGCTTCTCATTGGCCAATGACTATTACCTTTATAGAACTATTTCTTTTTCCAATCGAATTATTTTATAAGTGATTATTTTTGTTGACCTCATTTTTGTAAGGGTAACGTGGACAACAGAAGCTAGTTTTACTGACGTCCTCGCAAGCAAATTCCAACATGTTTTTTGGCTGAAAACTTGGTTGGAGAAGATTACCTATATGGATGTGGGAGATGTTATAGGATATGAGAAAAAACATTCAAACACCGGCAGTATATTTAGAGGCGATTGCACAATGACGATAAATTACCAACAACTCACTGTAAACAAGATAATCTAAATTTCAGCAAAGAAGTATATGAAAATAAGCAAGTGAGAAGATAAAGAATAGCTTAAAGTAGTTAGAGTTGCATAAGTCTTTAAATGATACAGAGAGTGGGAATATTTATAGTGTTGCACATGAATTAGTGTCCTTTGGATGAGGGCACTTGTCTTTATCTCCCTAATTGGAACATCTTGTCCTGGGCATCAATTTTACCACACTAGCCTATGGTGCATTTAATTCTCTTAAATGAAGCAGCCACCCTACAATTTATGCTTGCTAGACTTTAACATATCCCTCATTACAAATGCCACATCAATCATTTTCACAAAATATTGTGAATTGAGGAGCTTCAGCTAGAGGACATCACTGTCGGGCTTTAGATTCAATCATTAGACCTCATAGCTTTGACAAAAGGAGATACGTCCATATTCTTGGAACGTAGAAAATAGCTAAAAAAATTTTGGTGGCAAGATTGTGCTGAGCTGCCAAGACTCCTTTATTTGATTACTGAAATTTATTAGATGAGTCGTAGCAGGAAAGTACTAAACTGTCGAGGCTTCTTTATTTAATTGCTAAAATTTGTTTAGTGAGCTATTGTAAGAAAGTGTCGAAGCTCCTTTATTTGATTGCTGATTGGTAATAGTGCCAACAATTTGATTTTTGCTTGTTACCAAGAGAAGACAATTGAATCATTTCAACTTCCAACACACATACAATCATTATGTATTAAATGCTCAATTATGGCCGTGATACAGCAACATGGAATCGAATCCCAATGAAGCTCGTGCATGAGTTACACGTATGACTTAGAGGCATTGATAGAGAAAAGTCGTTTGGATTCAACGCCTTGAATATAGCTAAAAGATGGATGGCTCATATGATGTTGGTCTTGATCTAAAGGCTGAGCTCTGTCATCCTTTCCTATGAAAGCCAAGATCATACGAATATTT